ACCACCACTACCTGACCACCCACCGTCACCAACTTTCCACCACCGTCTACCGCCGCCACTTGCTATTTCTCACTCTTTTTTATATTTTAAAATTTTTAAACAATTTTGTCAATTACCAAACGCGTTTGTAGTTTTATTTTTCAAAAAATAACAAAAACCAGTTTATAAAATTTTTTAAATATAAACTGAAAATGTAAACGTTACCAAAACACACCCTAGAGTTTAAATATGAAACTCGTTCAGTAACTGAAACAAACTCGAGTCGAATAAACTCAACTCATTTATTTTTATTTAAATTATAAATAAATATATTATTATAGATATATTAAATAATATATATACATAATAGTTAAAATACATTATTTATATATAAATAATATTAATAATATTTATAATTAATAATCACTTAATATTAAAAAAATCTTATCGAGTGAACTCGAATTTCATTAATATAACGAGTTGAGTCAAGTTCGACCCCAGTTACTTATTGAACCAAGTTCGAACTCAATAAATAAATGAGCCGAGTTCAAGCTCAGTAAAATTTAGCTCGACTCATTTGCAGCCCTAATAGGCTCCATATGAATTGGTTGACTGTTGTGTTTTAATTTTTTTTAATTTTTAATGTTTGATAATGTTTGAATTAGTTTATGCGTATCTCAATTACTTTCGCATAACCAATCCCACCGTCTAGTGTTGTACTTTATGATGGGCCTATTGCAAATCTATTTTCATGATTCCGATTGTTTACTTTTTAAAAATTGTTGAATATATTATATATATAAAAAAATTAATTAATTACATATTGATCAAGTCACATTTATTTTAAAAAATATATAAAATTTATATAATTTTAAGAAATATTATTTAATCCCATGATTACAGATTCAATCAATCTAAATAAGAATTCCGATCATTAAAATATGCCCACTGTGGACATATTTTTGGGTCACAATCTCGGGTTCATAGTCTTATCTCACAAACTGATTGAATTTTATTAGTCTATCTCACAAACTGATTGAATTTTATTTTACTTTTTATTTATAATTTTCAAAGAAAACTATTCTAACCGATTTGGCACTGTATTTGGAACCACGAATACAAAAAAAAAAAGATGAGACAATCAGAGAGAAGCAAGTTTTTTTTTTTTTTTTGAAGAAAAAGAAACCGGTGGAACAAGTGAATCGAATTAATTTGGTCTAAATTGCTGATGTTGTCTGATTTTTATTAACTTCATTCTGGTTTCAATTTTGAAAATTGTTGAATTGTTCAAATCAGTTTGATTTTTGATTCTAAAGTTTTGGTTAGCTCTAAATTGAACTGGACAGTTATATATTTATTTAGTTATAGTTTTTTTGTATGGAAAAATAAGAATATAGAAGTTACTAGTGACATTTTAAACATTAATTTTGATTGTAAGATTATAAAATTTAATCAACTTAACTAAATTAATTATTTTTAGTATGTTTAGGAGTATAAAATATATACTATATATCTTGTTATATAATTTTTTAGAACTATATTGTTAGAAGGAACCAACTCGGTTTCTATAGTTTGGGTATTATTCTGACCAATTTGATTCGTGAACATCTCTAATAAGACACACGACAATTTTTTCTCTTATATTTTTTTAATAAATATGTTATATATACATATATTCCTTTATCATTGAGACTGTATGATAAACCAAACTTATCATAACTTTGCCAAGAGAACTCAAACTCTTTTATTTTTCGAATATAATTTTTTTTCAAAAATGCTAGAGACCTCAAAAATTTTACCAAAAGTTTTACCAAATGTCTCACAGTGGACCCACATGGGACCCACATTGTGTGGGTCTCACACCCATGTGAGACATTTGGTAAAACTTTTGGTAGAATATTACATTGTGTGGGTCTCACACCATGTGAGACATTTGGTAAAACTTTCGGTAGAATATTTGGGGTCTTTAGCATTACTCATTTTTTGTTTGTTTGTTTTTTTATTTTGATTGTGTGAATTAATCAAGGGGTATGAAACTCAGAATAATAATTATAGAAAAAGACCCAAGGAACCAACCACATCACAATAAACAACAACGTTTAAAATTATATAACGGCTACGTTTTTTTGTGTTATCTAGATATTACACTTTAAAAAATATTATCCAAGAGGTGTTTGTTATTTTCCTAATTTTCACATCAATACGACCGTTATTTAACGGTTAAGAATGCTTGTCTCTTTCAGATGTGGCTATTGATTTAAGAATTTTCAAACCTTTGAATGGATTAAGCTGTGCTTTCCTACATATAAATTAGATTAGGTGCTTCGGAACTTTTCTTAGGAGGCCTTAAGACGAAATACATGAAGATCTAGTTAAGTGTGAGAACAAAAATTAAATTAATTAATTTATTTATTTTGAATAGGAACAAAATGAAAATGACAAAATCTACACCTTGAAGTTCAAGTTGGTCTGACTGAGAAAATGCTTCCTAAAAAATGATGAGCCAGATGAGATTAGGGCAAGACTAAATAAGATTATTCACTTAATTAGCATATCATACTACCAAGTTAAGATATTAATTTTTACTCATTTAGATTCTGGAATTGTCAAAATATTTATTTTAGATTCTTAATCTTATTTGTCTTTATAATTGTGAACTAGTGACCTTTGCCATGACACATATAGTGTGTTTTGCGATTCTTTATTTATTGGAAGTATCGTGTAAATAATATCATATAGTACTACCAAACAGGATTTAAGAGTATTTTTAATTTTTAATTTTTATTTTTTGATTATCAAATTTTGAATTGAAGAAATGAGATAGACTCCATCTAGTCTTCACTTGGGTTAGGGGAAGTTTTGTAGGGGTGGGCTTTCTAAAAAGCCCATTATTGTTGAGGACAAAAAGAAGAGCATGCAGTTGATGGGAGATTCTATTTACGCTCAAAAAATGTTTAAAAGAGTTCAATTTTTTAGTACATTTTATTTTATTATTTAGGGTTTTAATTTATTTTTAATATACTTCCCCCCTCCTCTCCTTCCAAAATTATCCTTTTAAGATACACTTAAATAATAAAAAAATTCAAATTAATTTTAAAAAATATTTCTTTTATTCACGTACAGACATAGAATATTATCAGGAAACCTGGCACCGATAAAGGCTTGGCACTAGCAAAGGAGAAGGAGAACGCTGAAGGAGGACGAGGAATATTCACCATGTTTTTGTCATTATTGTTCGGACTTCTAGAACCGAACAAAGTGAATTTGTTCGGATTTCAAGAATCGAACAAATTCACTTTTTTCGGCTGTCCACTGACGAACAAAGTGAAATTATTCAGTTATGAAAGTCCGAACAATAATAACAAAAAACATGTTGAATATTCGCTTTATATAAAAAAAATACAGAAATCAATAATTGTACTTTGATATTTATGTGAATAGTTACTTCTTCTTTGATGGGATTGTTTCAAAAAAATTATTTTCATTTTTACTCTCATCCACTGTTTGGCTTGTTCAAACTTTCTTCTAGTTACAAGTAATAATATAATAAAAAAATAATGATTTTGATGATAATTGTGAGTTTTGGTGGGGTGGATTGAAGTTTTAAAGTGAGGAAGAAGAAGAAGAGAAAATAATTGAAATTTAGGAAAGAATTAAGATGAAGAGATTTGAATAGAAAGAATACGTATAATTAACTGGGGTACACTATGAGAAAAAAAAAAAAATTTATTTTAATATTTAATATGTTTTATCCTTATTAATAAATTTATATTAAAATATAATAGAAATTAAAATTTTAAAATTTGTAATCTACGGATAATTTTTGGTTAAAATAAAATGGCCCGCAGTTGATTGATTACATCTCGTCTTTGAGCTGGGCAGAAGAAAAAATAGAGTATGACCTGAACTCAAAGTCACTTTTTTATTTTTTTATATTTTTTATTTTTAAAGTGTAGTAGTGAGAAAATATGCATTTTTTATTTTAAATTTGTTTCATCTTGTTTTTTTGGTTGTATAAAGTAATTTTGTTAAAAGGGGAGATCAAGAAAGTAAAAATCATTCAAGAATATGGACAACTATTGCATCAAGGTTTCATACTTAAATAGTAGTATTTATTTCACATATTATTCACCACAACCATTGAGTAATCCTTTAAGGAGCACAAATTACATTTCAAGCACACTTAGCAACCTACAACATCAAATTCAACCAACCCTTTATGTATTTAGTTCCAATATCTTCTCTATCAACCCCTTATTTATTTATTTATTTTTAAATTTCTTTTATGCTTTAATTGACTAATAAGCATGCTTAATTTTTACACTTGCTTTTGTTATTGGGTATATATAATGGTTACTCCATGATATTCACTAGGTTTTTATGTTGTCTAATGTTACTTGGAGAGAGATGGAATGCTTAATATCACCAATATGAAGACTATGTTCACCTATTGGAATTCTTCGAATTCCGAATTGGTCAACAACACTGAGGTGGTTGCATACATGAACATGAATCTTAACCCTTTGTCGCCCTCGGGCCACCACATGCACCTTTTTAAATCCTATCAATTGCTTATTTGCACCCCATTTTCCGACAGGCGGGGTTGAGAACACGAGCATCGTGTGAGTCCCATCCATATCACCGGTATTTTTTACATCAATGTGTATTCCAAGTATTAGTGTGTCACAATTTGTGTGCGTGACCCTTATGCCATTGTTAAATGTGGTTGAATTTTGGAGTCCATAGAGGCTTGTTAGAGGTACTGAAACAGTAGTTGGAGCATGGGCTAGCTCATGGGCAAAAGTGGTGTAGCTCATGCCATGCCCAAATGGGAATACCACTGGGCCTTTGTAGAACCGGTAGGTTCGACCTGGGTAGCCACTAGATGGGTTAGCTCGCATAGCCATGTTTGTCATTGGTGCCTTGGCTAGGTAGTCCTGTGGATACCATGTCATGGGTAGCCTTCCTCCTGGAAAATCAAACACACGAGAGCACTACTTAAGACTGCATTCGATAACATCGTCAGTTTCTTATTTTCCATTTGCCATGGAAAAAAAAAAAATGTTTTGAAAACAGGTAATAATACATTTTCTTCATTCCTTAAATTTTGATAACTGTTGCCATTTTTGTCCCATCTTTCTAAATTTAAACACTTGGATTGGCAATGCATAATAAGTACCTGGATTGGTTCTTCCAAATAGAACATCAGCAATGGCAGTTCCTCCAGCCTGACCCGGGTACCCAACCCACAAGATGGCCCCAATACGAGGATCGTTCTTGGCGAAAGAAACATCAATAGGCCCACCGGACATTAGGACCAATACCACCGGGCCTCTAGACGCCATGGCAACTCGAGACACAAGCTCCTGTTGGGGCCCGGGTAATAAGAGCCCTACCCGGTCCTTGAATTCTGTTTCTATCGATTGGTCAAGGCCCATCACTAAGACCGTCGCATCGGCCTGGCGAGCAGCTGTTTCAGCCACCCCAAAGAGCTGGTTATTGGAGCAAGCAACACTGTCGCAACCCGATTGATGAATTGTCCTAACATACCTCTCTATGCCTTGTAGGGGAGTGGTGAAACCACATGCAACACCTGCATCATATAAAAAGCTTATAATATAAAATGAAATTTAACCAAAATTTTAATTTTTTGGTAAGTTAATTGTTGGTTTGTTCATATTAAATTAATTGAAACACTTTGTGCCAAAGTTTCAAGAAGAAATTCAAAAATTATCAAGGGCCTCAAGAGTTTGGCCCATTATGTGGGGATTAGATATCAATTCAATAAATAATTGAATTAATTTTTAAAAAAATGGGACAAATTTATGGGAAAAAAATACAAATATTTGACATACCGGCATAGTTTCCGAGCATAGTGACAGTAACATCAGAATTGGGCCCAATGACGGCAACAGTACGGTGGAGCTGGGTGGAGAGTGGCAGTGACCGGCCACGGTTTTGTAGAAGCACAATGCCTTGCCGGGCTGCCTCGAGGGCTAGCTGTTGGTGGGCCGGGGTACATACATCTCTTGGGCCTAGATTCCCATATGGCTGACTCGACGGCTCACCATCAAACATGCCCAAACGCATCTGGACCGAAAGCGTATTGATTAGGGCCCCATTAACATCGGCCTCGCCCAGTTTTCCTTGCCGTACGGCCTGCTCGGTGTGGATCGCTAAAAAAGGCCCACACTCCAAGTCCAGGCCTGTATAAAATTTCCCGAATTTCTTTAGTGTGTGTTTGTTTGTTTGTTTATTTTTTTTTTATATTAATATTTTTTTTTTTGGTTTTATATTTGGAAGACAAGTGTTAGGGTGTTACTAGCCTGCTTTGATGGTGGCTGCAGCTGCGTCTTCTGGTGTGGCTGTGTAGTGTTGAGTGTCATATAAAACCCCAACAGCGTTACAATCTGAAACAATGTAACTGTTTGGGCCCACGAACCCAAAAATCAAAATAGACCATAAAAAAATGCTTACCCACAAAAAAATATTCATAATTTAAATATATAGTGTAGATTTAAATTTAATATGGTATCAATTACATTTAAAATGGATATGAATTTTATGTATTTTAAAGATATGATAGTTTTACATGTATATATATGGTTTGCAACAGCTCCTCTCCAATCAGGACTATTGTGGGTCTATATTGAGTATGTCTTGATGATATAAATCGTTTATTTTGTAAGTTTCATTGAGTATATTATTTATGCCAAAAATCAAATTGATCGAATATTGATAATAAAAAATATGAATGGATTATATGATTTTGAAGATAGTGCAACTTTTTTTTTTCCAGACATGTGTTTTGATCAAATAATTATTAATACCAGATTAATTTGATTTTTTATATTAATAATATATTCAATGGGTTTTATAAAATAACGGTTTGAATTATCGAGTAAGTTCTAATATAAGTCCACAATGTGCTGGACTGGATCTCTCTAGTCCGATAAAAGACTAGAAAGGAGCTAAACTCTGTTTTATGAATTTACATAAAAAATGTGAAAAAAAAATTTAAAAAATGTATTTGATAATATATATATGTTGTGCACATTAAGTCTCTTAAGAAAACCAAACACATAATATAGGATAATATTTTATAGAATTTGTAAGTAAGATTTAATTTTAAAAAATTTTATGAATTGAAATAGGGCTAACCCATTGAGGTGCCATTGACCACGGATGGTGTTGCGGAGGAGATCAGGGTCAGCACAAGTGGGTTTGCCATTAACTTGATTGTATGAGCACATTACACCTGCTACTTTCCCTTCCACTACACACGCTTTAAATGGTACATCATATGTGTCCGCCAAGTCTTGCTTGCTTACCTGCCCATTAAACATTTCTATTTTTTTAAATTTATTTTTTTATTTTTTAGTGTTAATAATTACGAAACCAAGGTCCATTTCTTTTGATCGTCCCTTGCCCATGTTGAGTCATAATAGTCCAACAAAGCTCACAAGATGTCATAGGGAAGAAAAATAGAGAAGTTATGGACATCTCAACCATTAATTAATAACAATTCTCATATGATCCATACTCATTAATGGTTCAGATGTTATGTATGATAATATCATATATAAATATGAATAATTGTTGAAAAAAAGAGAGGAGAGTTTTGAATCTTTTATTTCATAATATCTCTTGTTTTAAAACCGTTGTACCACACAAATAAATAATTTTTTTTTGGACTTAACTGTGCACGCAACATTTTAGGTGTTGATTGTTATGAGTCCCATGTAATGCCATACTAATGCGAGAATGCCACACATGGTAATAAATAAATGTCAAGAAAAGGGACTTATTTTTACGGGGTTGAGGGTTGCGGTTGTGCTTTATGCCACATCATTATTGTTGTGAGGTCTCACAAAGGAATTTTCTGACTATATTTTGATAATCTGAATTGTTTCTATTGTAAGGTTTGTCGAGTATATCATCTATATAAAAAAATTAAGTTAATCGGATATTTGTAACCCAATGATCAAGTCCTAATTGTTTTTAAAAAATTATTGAAATCATGTTAACCGTTTATTTTTTTGAGAAAGAAATGTGCTCTTATCAAGAGGCTACAGATGTCCGATTTACTTGATTTTTTACATGAACGATCTATTCGACGAACCTTACAATATTAACGGTTTAAATTATCGAAAAAGACTCGGGACACACCCTCAATAAACTTCACAGCAGCCTGGCACAGCAGGAACCAGTTTAGATCTTCTATTTTCATTATTTCTGGTCCCAAATTCTATCCCTATCACTTGATTAATTTTTCTTAATTTTTATAATAAAGAGAAGATTTGAGACAAGCGATCCTAAACCTAAAAAGATACGAATTAATTTCCATATGGATAAATGCCAAAATAAAGTAAGGGTTATTCCAAGCCAATGGTCCCCCTAATCAAATGGATACAACGTGACACGCGCATGTCAACGTTGCGTGTATGAAATGCTCAAAATTCCCTTTTTTTAAAATTTTAGTACATGACTACATGCATGGTTATACTTTTATTATTCATTTAAATATAAAGTAGCGGATTATATAGTTAAAATATGCTAAGATTGTTGTGGTTGAATGACATGTAGTCGTGTTTTAGAATATAGTGAGAGAGGAAGGTTTAAAATTCAAACGGATGAATCAGAAACGGCCCATTTAAGTTTTAACACAATTTTATTAATATACCTACCTTCTATTTTTAATAAAAATAAAAATAAAAGATACAATCAAAACACATATTCACACAAACATATATGTATAAATTGTGGTTGGTGATTTTTACCCACAAATACTCCAAAGCTATTAGCAAACCAATGGTCTTAAATCCCCCAAAACAAAATAAATAAAAAAAAACTAAAAATAAATAAATAAAGATTTATTTGGTTTGGTAGGACTATTCTTAAAAAACACAGATATTAGACTTTTGGGGGCATCACAGAAGCATTATTTCAGCTAGTGGGATGATGGGAAAAGATCATTCCAGTTGTCAAGTCTTTTCTTTTATGATCATATGGAGGACATTAGTGTACGTTGAAAATTAATTAAATGGTCTTTGGACCCATCCAACAAGTAATACTAGTAGTTGTTAGTAAGTCACAGATATCTGGTAAGACAAGACGTTAATAATAATAATAATTGAGAAGAATAAAATGTACCCTAGCATTGAAACGGTATCGATCGACGCTGTTCCAGTTATCGAGATCATAGGCAGTGTAGTGTTTGCAACAAGCAGCCACCTTCAACTGGTTGCCGGAGTTGCCCTGGAGTCCCCGGACGTAGCTGGCCGCGTATTTTCCAGCCAAAACGGGGTCTTCGCCGGGAGTTTCTTGGCCCCTGCCCCATCTAGGGTCTCTAAAAATGTTCACATTTGGGCTCCAGTAGGTTAGCCCAGCCATTCCTCCGTTGTACATTGCCCTTGCCTCATCAGACACCACCTGCACATCATCAAATATCCAATTCCAATATGGATATATCATCTTATAATTGATTGTATTTTAGTTTTTTATATTTTAATTTTATTATTTGAAAAAAAAAGAAAAAAGAAATTGTTTTAGCCATCTGTTTTTAAAAATACCCATATTGATGTGTATAATTATCTATTTATTCGTTGAAACTAGTAAATAATTACCCTATTAATGTTTATTTATTTATTTTTTTGTATTAATCCAATGGATTATAAATGTCATGTCATTTGATAAGCAACATTACCACACTAATGTAATTAACAAAACAAAAAGATCAACTTCATTTAGTTGGACCTTTAACATAAATGATAAAGCCTTGATTCCAAAGCATGCTCACCAGATTCCAAATCTCAATATATCTCAATATATGTAATCATAATAAGAATAAGTTATAATAGAAGGATAATTGTGACGCCTAACTATAATTATTGGACTTATTATTATTATTCAATAATTGACACACTGGTGTGCTGATGACCACATATATAAAATGCCCATTAGCCGTCACTTGATGGTATTACTTATAATATCCAAACGATGATGCGGACCCTGTCGGTGGTGGTACCCGCAGCCATTGTCATGCAATTTGGTGCATGGACAATATTATTTATTATAAATTTTTGTTTTAAAAATTATTTTTAAAATATGATGTACAGTGTAAATTTAAATATATTACGTTAAGAATAATTATGACTCGTAGATCAACTTTTTTGAATATATATAGTTTTATTAGATTTAAAGATTTTAAAAATTGATGCCATGCAATAGAGGTATAAGCTAAGTTGCACTAGCAATAATTCACGTCTCTTCTTCTCTACCAGTCTAGCTCCCCCTAGAACTAGTTTCTCCTGTTTTCCAAAAGGGTTGGGCTTTGTGGATTAGATGATATTGTTAGAGCTGTGGAGTCCACTATAAATTCTATTTTAATAATTTAAATAATTAAATGTGTAGAGTTTGTCGAATATTTTATTTTTGTAAAAAATCACCTTAATCGAATATCGATAGTTATTTGATCGGATCAGATTTTTGTTAACCGTTTATTTTGAAAATTATAATTACCATTGACAGAAATTTAATCCGATTAAGTAGCTATCAATATCCGATCAACGTAATTGTTTGAAAGGATAAAGTACTCGATAGGATTAACACATTGAACGATTTAGATTATCAAAATAAGACCTGTGGTGGTATTTCATAGACTCAATAATACGCTCCAATCTGATTTCAAATCAGAGAGAGGCTTGGCCTTTCCAAAACTTTCCAAAAAATTCAAGCCCAAATTTGTGAAAACCGGAAAGGGTAATTTTACCTTTTTCCTTTAAATTATTATTAAAGTTTTTTATTTTTTATTTTTTATTAAATTATTAAATTTGTCTATTTAATTTTTAAATTTTTAATTTTTGTTTCTGTGATCCAATTAGAAACAATTATACAAATTAATAATCATTAAATTCTAATTTGGTTGGCAAAAAAGATAATTTTATAATTCAGACTGCTTAAATCATATAAACAAACACCAATTAAATTAGTTGTAATTTTGTTCACATGGGGGCGTAATTTATTTAAAATAATAAAGAAAAATGAGTATTTTGTTGTAAAATTTAAATTGTTCAAATTTTGAAGCAATTTTTTCATTAAATTAGGCTTCAAATGTTATTGATTTGTATAATTATCTTTAATTTGATCACATGAACAAAAAATACAAAATTCAAGAACTAAATAGACAAAATTGATAATTTAAAGATAAAATAAAAAAAGAAAAAAAAATTAAAATTAACCCAACTCGGAAATTTCCTCCATTGCGCAAACCCAAATTACAAAAAATTCTTTGCAATAATTATCTTGATAACAATAATTTTAATTATGACAATATTACTATTATTTTTTTCAATACATCGGAAGTAAAAAATTACAAAAATATTATTATAAATACTATTATTATTAATTATGAAAATATTACTTTTTTTTTGAATACATAGGAAATAAAATTTATGACAATATTATTATAAATATTGGGGCAAATTATCAATATCCCTTCGAGGTTTGACTAAAATACAGATTCTTTCATGAGATTTGAGAAATTACATCTCGCCCCCTGAGGTTTATATCTGCATAACCAACTACCTCTTAATTTGTTATGTAAATATACACCTCAGGGACAATTTGTAATTTCTTAAATCTCAGATGAAAATCTGTATTGGTAATTTGCCCTAAATATTAAATCTAAGACGGAAATCTGTATTGTTAATTTGCCTAAATATTATTATTAGATAGAATAGAATCCCATTCTCATTTCCGATGTACCAAAAAAAAAGAAAAGACAATGTGTTTAGTTTGAGTTTTCTGAATTAAGTTTTTTGAAAATTGAGTTTTTTGATTTTCGTATTCTTTTGTTTTTAGTGAATATTTTTTAAATTTTAAACATTTTTTTTACTTTTTTAGATACACCTTAGTTAGATATATCTAAAAAATAAAAAATTTGTGAAAAAATATTTTAAAAAATTAATAAATACATAAAAATACAAAAAATGTATTGAATTCTTATATTTTTTTTGTATTTTTAGTATTTAGTGAATTTTTAAAAGATTTTTTTTATAATTTTTTTACTTTTTAAATGTATTTATGTTAGGCGCGTCTAAAAATAAAAAAAATTAATTAAAATATTAAAAAATTTTAATAAAAATAAAAAAATATGAAAAATAAAAAAATATAATTTTTTGAAAAATATTTTCTAAAAAATTGAAAACAAGCAATAGAATCCCATTCTTTTATCTTTTCTATGGCATGGAAAAAATATGGGGGAGAAAAAGCAGATTTTCACAGGTATGGGAAAGGAATATTTGATGGTCCCACCAACAGTGAAAAGCTGGCTACCACATGCAGCCCACACCTTATGACTTTATACCCTATCTCAGTCAAGCAAAAGTCAGCATTCATGACAAAACATTACATAAAAATGTTTTATATGGAAAATTGGATTAAGTCACTAAGAAAAAAAGAAGTTATGTATTTTTTATAATTGAGTTAGATAAAATATATAAATTTATAAAAAAAATAATAATGTAATATTTATTAATAATTAATTAAGAAACCTTTTATATAATTAATTTTTTTATAAAAATTATAGAATGATATGATTGATATTTTTACCATAAGTAAAGGAGATTTTCTTTAATTTTGTAATGAAATAAGAGTGATACAGGGACATTTTTTATGTGAAAATTTTACTTAAAAAAAAAAAAAAGATTTCAGGGCCAACCAAATTGTAATTATAGTTGTAGAGAATTAGTTAAAGTCATATATTTGTAGATTTGTTTACTGTTTTATGTCACCTTCTATGGCAATCAAGAATAAATATATAAACAGTACTGTACTGTATTGACACGTAAATAATTATATACAAATAGAAAATTTATGTATAAAATTAATATGAGATGACGTGATAAATTTTGATTTTCTTATTATTTTTTAAAAATTATTAAAATGACTTATATTTTAAAAAATGTAAACATTTTGTATGAATATCATTTTTCAAAATATAAATTTGTAACAATAGGATAACCAAATTGAGTAATGATATATTAGAAAAAAAAAATTATAAATTTTTTTTACACAGAATTATATGACTCAATATAAGCAACATTTCATTTAAAAAAAGACACATATTGTTATTTACAAAAATGATATTACCGCAATATATTACAAATTATTAATTTTTTTAAAAAACTTTACAATTCGATAAAAGTTTTATGAGGAGTGTAAAAAAGAAGAAACAATCTGACCCGTCCAATATGCTCCCAAAGTGAGGCATTGAAAGAAGCAGCGGTGGAGATGACTTGAGGAAAACTAGTGGCCCCAGGAAAGGCCCCACCAAACTTAACACCGGGATCGGCATTGGAGACCCCATGAAGAGCCTCGGACCACCACTCGTAGCCTTTGATCCCCAGCCTGGGCACCGCGGCCGCATTGTTCACCAGCAACCTAATCTTCTCCTGCAATGTAAGCCGTCCGATCAAGTCCCTTACTCTGTCTTGTATGGGCAGGGATACCCTGCAGAAGGGCAGGTTTCGAGTCGCTCCGTCGCATGCGAAAGCGGGGCGAGACTCGGATGTAGGAGCAGAGGCGAGGAGAAATAGAGATAGTAGTAGTGAGAGATATGTGTGTGACTTATTCCTATACATTTCTTCTTTTTTTTATTAGAGTTTTGTTATGGTCTTGTGTGAGGGTGAGAGTGATGGTGTTTTTGTGTGTTTATATATATTTGTGTAGGGAGTGAGAGAGAGGTGGTTGCGTTTAAGTGAAGGGTGATGATGTGGGATAACTAGTTGGATAACTTTTCCACGTCGTTCGATCTTTACAAGTTAGAACTAAGAATGATGTTCCTGCTCTAAAAGTGGTGATAATTATTTATTAATTTTGGAATATGAACAAGTGATATTTTATAATATTATGATTAGTAGAGAAGGTGAATATGTGAGATATTGTGTTAGATGATTAAAAAATATGAGAAGACATATTAAATAATGCTTGATTGCAGAGTATAAACACATGATATTTTGAGGATATTAGGAGTTGTTTGGGGTGTCCTAAATAAGTGCACTTTTTATTTTTTTGGACTAAAAAATTGAAGAAAAAAATATGAATGTTTAAGTTAATTTTTTGACTTTTTATAGAAAAATATGTATTAAAAAATTGTATAAATTAGTGTGTAGAGAAAAATTAGAATTGAGGCTTGTGCAGTCGTAATTTTTGAATTTTGATAAATAGTGATAACTTTTTAATTTTTTGAATAACTTTTTAACTTTTTGATTTTTTATAGACTTGTCAAATTTGGCCTAAATATTTTTCCCTCAAAGAGAGAGAGAGAGAGAGAGTAGAGCACGCATTTCAGTCAGGATGGATTGATATAGACGCTAAGGTTGTGTTTGTTTGGGAGTTAGATCATTTGATATATTTTTGTTTTTGTGTTATTTTAGTTTTTTAATTTTAAATTATTTAATTTTGATTATTTAAGGTTGTCTCTTTTGAATTTATGATTTTGATCATAAATTTATAATTTTAAAATATCTCTTTGAATTTTTTAGCTTTTGAATGTAAATTTGATTTTAAATTTATTTCATATATTTAAATTTATAATTTTAAAATATCTCATATAAAGTTGGTAATCCATCCATATTTCATTAGTTCAAATTTAAATCTCATATATTTAGACGTAAAAGTAGGCCACAAATATCGTTAATATCTTCTCCACTACTTCTGTCACCTTTTTCGCAATCTTCTATCTCCCATATGGAAAATTATGGCAGAAATAAATGCACAAGACTTACAGTACAGTAACTGATCAAAAAAATCTACGAGTTGATAACAATAGATATTCACTATATGAGAAAAGTGTAATCCAATTTTTTTGGTGGATGAGCACATTTTAGCTTTAGAGTTGATTTGGGATATTTTAATAATTTTTAGCTTTTTTGTTAAAAAATTAGTATTTTTTGAAATAGTTTTTTGACTTAAAAAAAAAAGTGCAAAAAATAGAGAAAAAAAGAATTTTTTTGACCTTTTGTATATTTTTTTAATTTTTTAATTTTTTTTAATAACTTTTTGATTATTATAGGGTTTCTCAAATCAATCCTTAGATTTAAAAAAGTGGCTTTGAATGTGATTATAAATATGAAGAGGTTATAAACATCTAATATGTAACCACGAGCTTGTGACCCGGAGGCTTATCCACCACTGGGCGAGGTTCTGGTGTTCAATTGGATTTGCTCCCCAGTTCGAGTCTAGGCAACTACAACGCCTTGTTGCTAGCAGCAAACTCTCACCTTGAACAAAGATTAGTTGAGGTGTGTGTTAAGTTAGTCCAAACAGCCCGTGGAAAACCAATATATATATATATATATATGTAATCTAAACTCTCAAAAGATTATATATCACAAGAAATGTGATTTTGTCACGACATAGTTTCTTTATTCTAAAAGTAGGCACTAATATCATTATCATCTTCTTTGCAACTACCACTATGTTTTTCACAAGAGAAATGCCACCCTTCTAGATTTATGAACCATAAAAATTGTTCAAAAATAAGTATATGGTGTAAATGAAGAGTTGTTATATTGTGAGTTACATTTAAAATCATTCTCATCCACATAATTTGAATATCCATAAATTCTAGATTTTTTTTTCCCTCTAGTTTTGTAGTGTTGCTTTTTTCACAAACTATATTATCTTGCATTTCATGGTGGAATAAATGCACAGGACTCACAGGACAGTAACTGAAAAAAATCTACAAGTTGATTTTCTGGAGTGTTTTGAGAAGTTGGTAAAAAGTTAACTTTTAATTTTTTATCAAGCTTATTAGCTTTTTTGAAAAGTGATTTGGAAAGTTGGTAAAAAGTTAGCTTTTGACTTTTTGATTTAATATTTGTTTATAGTGTCACATCACATTAACATGACTACAATACCCTTACCCAACTTAGAAAATTTACTTTTTTACTTATTGTGTGTGTTTGAACAATTTTTTGAAAACGTGAAGGGTAGTTATGTAATTTCACAGGTTTATGTTTTACACCACTTCCCAAATGGTTTGTTGCGTTTTGCTGCCATGGCTTTATTTTCTCATGCTGCAAAACTCAGCTTTTTACCCCTTCTTCCCAAATGGCCACTCTATACCATTAACAATATATATTTGACTATGATATTTCTAGTAGAGCAGGACTTCAGTTGCAATAAATTAGTTGAATAAGTCTTTACTTGATATTAGGATAATTTAAATTTCAAATTCAGGTTTATCAGCTGTTAGGTTGTTCCTATTTTGTTGGGTTGTTCCAAGTGTAGTGAGATAGTTGGTTTGTTCCTATTTTAGTGTGATATTGGTAACTGAACTTTGGCAGAATGATTCACTTTATTTTCTATATATTGTACTGATCTCAATTGGAAATAATTATCCAGAATTTTATTCCACACTTGTGTGATATTGGAGGATTGGGTTTCCCTCCAAGCAAACCCCTTTTCTTTTTGATTTCCCTGTTCCCAACTCTCTCCTAGCAACTCTGTTTTTGTTGTCTATCATTTCTAGCAAAAATAGGTAAACAAAAGAACAAGAACATCAGCTCTGTTGCAGCCACACATAACAGCTTGGTATCAGAGCTAGGCATGGAGGAGCAGCGGTTGGGGCAATTGGAGACTGATGTCAACTCTTTAGCAACTGGGCAGGAAAGAATGATGAAAGAGATGCAAGAGATGTTCGCAACCATGAATACCAGGTTGGACCACATCATGACCAACCAAGTTCGTGACCCTGGAGAAAGTTCTCACAACCAAAATCAAAGTGTTGGAGGACGAACCCTTGGAAGTGGAGGAACCAACCGCGAAGTATGTAGCAACTCTGCCCCTCAATATTTGCCCAAGACGGTGAAGCTTGATTTTCCACGCTTCAATGGAATCGAGGATCCGACAAGTTGGGTTTGCCGGGCTGAACAATTTTACGATTTTCATCAAACGCCTGAAGCTGATGGAGTGCTACTAGCATCCTTTAACCTTGAAGATGACGCCCAACTTTGGTACCAGTTGTTGAAAGAAGAGACTCCGATCATATCGTGGGAAGACTTTAAATAAGGACTACTTAACAGATATGGACCTACCCAGTTTCAAGACTTCTTTGGTGAGTTAACAAAGCTACAACAAATTGGTTCCGTATGAGAATACCAAGCCCAGTTTGAGAAGTTGCTGGTTCGAGTAGGGAGGTTGACACCATCGCATCAAGTTGGTTGTTTCATAAGCGGGTTGAAGGAAAGTATCAAGGCTGATGTCCAAGCTAGTCGACCTGTCACACTCTCTGCTGTTATTGGATTAGCAAGGCTATATGAGGCGCGTTGTTACTCCAATCGTCGGACTGTTCAACCGGAGGCACGCAAAACAATTCCTAATCGTTCTTCAATTCCTAACTCAAGTCCCTTGCCTATCAAAAGACTTAGTCCCGCTGAACTCTATGATAGAAGAAACAAAGGTTTATGTTTCAATTGCAATGAAAAGTTCAGCCCAAGACATCGGTGTAAAAAATTATTTCTCATTGAAGGGAGTTGGTCAGATAAGGAGGATGATGATGTAGACATGGAGGTGATAGAACTCAAGGAAAATGAAGAAACTCCAGGAATTTCGCTTCATGCTATCTATGGCGCACGAGCTCCACAAACCATGAAGGTGTGAGGTCGGATTGGCCAACATCAAATAACACTTTTGATTGATTCAGGAAGTGCTCATAATTTTTTGAATAGTAAGGTTGCCCGTAAGCTTGGTGTTTCACCTAACTCGGCGGGAAGATTTGAAGTTGTCGTCGCCAACGGAGAAAAGATTAGCAGCTCTGGCCGTTGTAAGGGAATTTGCACAATTATTCAAGGAGTTCGTATTACAGCAAATTACTTCTTGCTTCCATTAGAAGGGTGTGATGCTGTTCTTGGTGCCCAATGGTTGAGTACGTTGGGGCCTATTATTTGGGATTTCTCTAAGCTGCAAATAAAGTTTTGTCATGAGGGAAAAGATGTGGTGTTTACTGGCTTAGCTGCTCCAGAAAACAAGGTTGTGGGTGAAAAGGAAATTACCAAGGAATTTAGAAAAAAGAAGACAGGAGCTCTGTTGCAGATTTATTCTCTCTCAGTGCAGACCACACAAGGTAATCTCTCAACACACTTGGCTTTGGAATTAAATACACTAGAGTTGCAGCAAATTTTGAGCTATTATCAGGATGTGTTCAAGGAGCCCCATGGATTGCCTCCTCCTAGGACCCATGATCACAAAATTCCCTTAAAGCAAGGAAGTGAAGCAGTTAGCATGAGACCATATAGATACCCTCATTATCAAAAAAATGAGATTGAAAAATTGGTGGCTGACATGCTGAACTCTGGGGTGATCCGACTGAGTCAAAGTCCTTACTCTTCCCCAGTATTGTTGGTAAAGAAACATGATGGGTCTTGGAGGCTCTGTGTTGATTACAGAGGCTTGAACCGGATTACCATTAAAGATAAATTCCCTATACCAGTCATTGATGAATTGTTAGATGAACTCCATGGAGCAAAATTTTTTACCAAGTTAGATCTACGATCTGGTTACCACCAAATAAGGGTGCATCTTGAAGACATCACTAAGACAGCATTTCGAACACATCAAGGACATTATGAGTTCCTCGTAATGCCCTTCGGCCTTACCAACGCCCCCTCTACCTTTCAATCCTTGATGAATGAGATA